TCCTTCCTCTCTCCCCCTCATCTCTCGTCTCTCTCACGTCTCTCCCTCATCTCTCTCCTATCTCTCGTCTGTCCCTTCTCCCCCTCTCTCCCTCATCTCCCTCACCTCCCTCCTCTCTCTCCCTCATCTCTCGTCTTTCTCTCATCTCTCCCTCCTCCCTCTCTCTCATTCACCATCCTCACCTCCCTCACCACTCTCTCACCTCCCTCCTCTCTCTCCCTCCTCCCCCTCTCTCATTCATCTCTCCCTCATCCCCTCCCTCACCACTCTCTCACCTCCCTCATCCCTCCCTCACCCCCTCCCTTACCACTCTCTCACCTCCCTCATCCCCTCCCTCACCCCCCTCCCTCACCACTCTCTCACCTCCCTCCTCTCCCTCCCTCCTCCCTCTCGCCCCCTGACCTCCCTCACCCCCTGCCCTGACCTGACCTCCTCCGTCCCCCCCCAGCGTGGTCCTGATCCTGCTCGCGTACACGGGGATGTTCCTGAGCATCCGGCTGACCCGCGGCTCGACGCCCCTCAACCAGGGCGACCGCGAGTTCGCTCTCCGCTTCTTCTTCATCGTCTTCACCGACTGCCTCTGCTGGACGCCCATCATCGTGCTGCGCGTCCTTGCCCTCGCAGGGGTCGCCATCAGCCGTGAGTCTTTCTTTGTTTTTTCGTTTCGTTTTTCGTTTTGGTTTCCTTGCTTTTTTTCTTCTTCTTTTCTTTTCTTTCCTTCGCCATCAGCCGTGAGCTCTTTTTTGGTTTTGTGTTTCGTTTTTCGTTTTGTTTCCTTGTTTTTTTTTTCCTCTTTTCTTTCCTTCGCCATCAGATGTGAGTTCCTGTTGGGGTGGTGATGCCGGGAGGAGGGGGGTTATTATTTTTTTGTTTATTTATTTATCTATTTTAGATTTTTCGTTTTTTTTTGGTTGTTGTATTCTTTTCTTTCTTTTTTTCGTTTTGTTTTCCTTTGCCCTCGCGGGGGTCGCCATCAGCCGTGAGTTCCTGCCTGGGGGTGCTGGCATGCTGGGGGCTGGGGGGTGGGGGGGAGTTATTATTATTTATTTATCTATTTTAGATTTTACGTTTTTTTCGTTTTCTTTTCTTTCTTTCTTTTCGTTTTGTTCTCCTTTGCCCTCGTGGGGGTCGCCATCAGCCGTGAGTCCTTTTTTGGTTTTGCGCTTCGTTTTGGTTTCCTTGCTTTTTTTCTCTTCTTTTCTTTATATTTTTTTCGTTTTTTTATTTCCTTTTCTTTTAAACGTTTTTTTCGAATTTAGTTTTTTGTTTTCTTTTCGTTTTTGATTTTCGTTTTTCGTTCTGTTTTCCTTTGCTCTTTTTGCTCTTTTCTTTTTGCTTTTTGCTCTCTTTGCTTTCGCTTTTTCGTTTGCATGTTTTTTTTCGTTTTTCTCGTTTTTAATGTTTGTTTCTTTTTTCGTGTTTTTGTTTTTCTCGTTTTTATGTTTGTTTCTGCTCCGCGCTCGTTTTTCGTTTGATTTTTCGTTTTTATGTTTTTTTCGTCTTTTCGTTTTTTTTTCCTTTTCGTTTTTCGTTTTGTTTATCTTGCGTTCTTTGTTTTCTTTTTTCTTCACCCTCGCCATCAGCCGTGATGGAGGTGGGGATTTATTTTCTCGCTTTTCCATTTTTCTTTCTTTTTTTTGTTTTTTTTTCGCGCATTTGTTTTGCCGTTTTTGCTTTTCTTCTCTTTGTTTGTGTGTTTTTTTGTTTTTTTGCTTTTCTTTTTTTCTTTTGTTTATTTGTTTCGCTTTTTTGACAATGCCATTAGTAATAATAATATTAATAATGAAAACACCACATGAGTTAGCAACCCCCCTTTCAACCTCTCCCCCCTCCCCCCCTTCTCAATCCCTTTCACTCTCCCCCCCTTTTTCAACCCCTTTCAACCCCCTCCCCCTTTTTCAAACCTTCTCACCCCCTCCCCCCCTTTCCAACAGCCAAGCTCTACGCCTACGTGGTGGTGGTTCTCCTGCCCATCAACTCGGCCATCAACCCTTTCCTGTACACGTTCACGACCGCCAAGTTCCGCACGCAGGCCAGGCGTCTTCTGTCACGGCGCGGCTGCTGCCCTCTGCCGGCCAAGAGGGATGTTGGTGAGTTGCCGCTTCGGAGTTTTGGGGGGTTTGGTGTGCTGTGTGTGTGGGTAGGGGGTGGGGAGGGGTAGGTGTGTGGATAGGGGGTGGGGAGGTGGGAGAGGAGTGGGAGGGGAATGTAAGAGGAGGGAAGAGGGGTGGGGAGGGGGAGGTGTGTAGGTAGGGGGTGGGGAGGGGGAGGTGTTTGGTAGGGAGTGGGGGGATGTAAGAGGGGGGAAAGAGGGGTGGGGAGGGTGTATGTGTGTGTGTATGTGCGCGAGCGCCCGTGTGTGTGTGCGTGTGTATGTGTGTGTGTGAGTATGTGTGCGCGTGAAGGAGGGGAGGAGAGAGTAAAGAGGGGGAGAGAGGGGAAGGACGGAGAGAGAGGGGGAGAATGAGAGGAAGAGGAAGAGGGAGAAGGAGAGGGAAGAAGAGGGTCAGGGAAAGGAATAAGAGAAGTGGATAAAAACAGAGAAGAAGGGGGAAGAGGAGGAGGGGGAGCGAGAAGGAGGGTAGAGGGGAGGGAGGGGGGAGAGGAGGATGAAGAGAGGAAAAGGAAAGAGGAAGGAGGAAGAGGGAGAGGTAGAGGGAAAAAGAGAAGGAATGGAAAATAAGAGAGAGAGAGAGAGAGAGAATAAGAGAGAGAGAGAGAGAGTAAGAGAGAGAGAGAGAGAGAGGGAGAGAGAGAGGAAGAGGAAGAGAGAGAGAGAGAGAGAGAGAGAGAGAGAGTAAGAGAGAGAGAGAGAGAGTGAGATAGAGATAGATAGATAGAGAGAGAGAAAAAGAAAAGAAAAATACAGCTCACTGACTGGTATTAAATCCAAGAATTTTCCTCTCGATATCTCTCGCTGACTCTGACTGGCAAATGGTTTGTAAATGTCTAGTTAATTGGACACCAAAAGCTAATGGTTAGTCTCCCCCTCCCCCCCCTCTCTCTCTCTCTCTCTCTCTCTCTCTCTCTCTCTCTCTCTCTCTCTCTCTCTCTCTCTCTCTCTCTCTCTCTCTCTCTCTCTTCTCTCTCTCTCTCTCTCTCTCTCTCTCTCTCTCCTCTCTCTCTCTCTCTCTCTCTCTCTCTCTCTCTCTCTCTCTCTCTCTCTCTCTCTCTCTCTCTCTCTCTCTCTCTCTCTCTCTCTCTCTCTCTCTCTCGTCTCTCTCTCTCTCTCTCTCTCTCTCTCTCTCTCTCTCTCTCTCTCTCTCGCTCTCTTCCTCTCTCTCTCTCTCTCTCTCTCTCTCTCTCTCTCTCTCTCTCTCTCTCTCTCTCTCTCTCTCTCTCTCTCTCTCTCTCTCTCTCTCTCTCTCTCTCTCTCTCTCTCCTCTCTCTCTCTCGCTCTCTCTCTCTCTCTCTCTCTCTCTCTCTCTCTCTCTCTCTCTCTCTCTCTCTCTCTCTCTCTCTCCTCTCTCTCTCTCTCTCTCTCTCTCTCTCTCTCTCTCTCTTCCTCTCTCTCTCTCTCTTCCTCTCTCTCTCTCTCTTCCTCTCTCTCTCTCTCTACTCTCTCTCTCTCTCTCTCTCTCGTTCTCTCTCTCTCTCTCTCTCTCTCTCTCTCTCTCTCTCTCTCTCTCTCTCTCTCTCTCTCTCTCTGTTCTTAACTTCATCTGTCTTCCCCATATACTGAATTTTCGGGATATTTTTTATGCTGTTAATATCCATACTGTTCTTATTATTATCGATGTTATAATTATTATAATATTATTGAAATAATAATAGAAAAAAATATATATATTTCCGAAAATCAAAGGAAAGGGTAAACAGGTGAGATAGGATAGACTTCTTGGTGACTAAGAACTTGTAGGACCATTTATGTGTAGACACGTAAAATACTATATAATAAACTATAATATACTTATCATACCAGAAACACTAGACATTATATGTAGGTGTGCCATGTTGCCGAAGTTCACTGGATTAATTATATGCTCTAATTAGTCCCTAATTATCTCTGTGATAATTCATTCCTTGGCATCCACTTACCCCCACCCCCCACCCGCCCGTGCTCAATCGGAGGTTCTGTCGATTAGCTGGTCTGTTTTTTTTTTTTTTTTTTTTTTTTTTTTTCTTTCTGTGATTATGATATTTCCCTCAATAACTTTTTTTTTCGATAACTCTTTCTTCACTCTTAAGGGAATTTAATCAGTCACTGTTCCTGAAATTCGCATTCCAATGACACTTCCTGACGTCATTACACTCTCTCTCTCTCTCTCTCTCTCTCTCTCTCTCTCTCTCTCTCTCTCTCTCTCTCTCTCTCTCTCTCTCTTCTCTCTCTCTCTCTCTCTCTCTCTCTCTCTCTCTCTCTCTCTCTTTCTTTCTTTCTCTCTCTCTCTTTCTCTCTCTCTTCTCTCTTTCTCTCTCTCTCTCTCTCTCTCTCTCTCTCTCTCTCTCTCTCTCTCTCTCTCTCTCTCTCTCTCTCTCTCTCTCTCTCTCTCTCTCCCACGCCCTCTCTCGACGGCCCAGACGATCAGCTGTTGATAACTTTGAGTCTTCTTCCCTGCCTGCAATTCCCCTTCCCCAGAGTCAGAGGCGACGCGGACTTCGTTCTTGAGGAATGGCCGAGACCTGGTGTTGCTGCACACAGGCCAGCAGTCCACGGAGAGGGAGGAGCAGGTCAAGGAGCAGCCTCGAGCCGTCACCAGCCTGTAGGAGAGCAGGACGTCGAGGTCACGAGCTCGGAGTTTTGAGGACTTCGTGGCTTCTGGACTGGCGAGGGATAGGGACTGCGTGGATAGGGGAGGGATAGGGACTGCGTGGAAAGGGGAGGGATAGGGACTGCGTGGATAGGGGAGGGATAGGGACTGCATAGATGGGGTTAAACTGGATTCTGGGCTTTTTTTTTCCTCCCAAATCGTGGATGTCATAGTTATGATTGATACTCAGGATACGGGATGGATAGATGTAAGATAGTTTTGATTATCCTGGGCTTCAGAAGTTCCAGAGGA